GTAACCAATATGGTATAAAAGTTGAGCAGTAGTCAATTCTTGGTATACTCGGTTGCATCTTGGTTATTACATGATACCAAAAAAGTAATATCCAATCACAATACGATCGACACGACATGACACGACACACGACGCAGCTGTGAATCCGGCTTAAGGCAAATACGATTTTGTTGAAAACTGGAATTGAGTAGGTAGGTACCTAATTATTCCTGTTTTTTTGTTGTTTGTTCCAATCATTTAAAAAAAGTTCTTTTTAACTCACAAAGTTCCAACTAGATACAATTTCCTACCAGAAACCATCCTCAAAGTGGTAAGTTGAAGCATTTTTATTGCTATATAGATAAAGAACGATGACAGACCACAGTCAATAAAAATAAAACCCATTATGTAAAACACTAAAACCAATACATTCATCGCCCCAGACAGAATCTAAAAGGTTATAATTTACATTTATTGGTTATTTTTATTCTATGTAGGAACGTTTTAAAATTGTATATATTAATTTTATGATCATGAAAGATGAATACTACGTGTATAATAAATATAGAAATAGTACTATCAAAAATAACAAAGAAATGTATTTTAATTATTAAAATAAATATCTTTGTTGATTATTATTTTTTATTTGTTCATTGGAATTTTTTGCTCAACCGTTTATCAGTTTATCAACGATAATTGTTTTTAAACTATTGTATTTATTTTAGACCTATTTTTAGATCTTCACTTGTAGAATACATAAATAAAGTAATCACATCTGTTATTATAATATTGTAATTTATTATTGTTGATATATCTTAGTAGTTAGATGTATACTAATAATAGTAGCTTTTAAATAAATAATAAAACAACAGAAATCACATGACAAATGTAACATGACAATATTGACATTTTCAAGAAAACCATTAAGACCACCCGTCTAAACACAACATATTTAGCTGGAAACATTCTGTCCATCCAAACAGAAAACACAGAGTTTCTAATGCGTACCACATTATAAAATAGTTACATTTTTTTACCATCTATACAGGATGTAACAGATAGAACTGACTTTTGGAATAATTTTTGTTCTAATCAATATTTAAAAATTTTTTTATATATATAATTTATAGCTACTTGCGCTACACATGTAATAAAAAATTTATTTAAATTTATTTTTTATTTTTTAATACCGAAAATGAAAAATTTTAAATTTGATTTAAATTTTTTTGAATAAATTCAAAATAGCCAATTTGTGAATCTGATTGTAAGAACGATGTGGATGATAAAAACATTTATCTAAGTCAAATAGTTTATTTTTCAGAATATTTTTAAATATCAATATTTTTTTGATTAAATTAATTATTAACGCAATAACTTTTTTAAAAATATTGTTTTTGGAAATTTGCTAACATGAGTATATTTCTTAAACTATTTACTAATCATATAATTTTATCAATTTTTGTCATACGTTTAAGTGGCATCAATTTTTTTTTCGGTCAGTTCTTTCTGTTACACCCTGTATTCTGTAATGATATAATTTTCCTTCTTTATTTCAAGTGAGTAGCACCTTTTTACTGTTGATTATAATTTTTAAAAATAATATGATGCAAATTAGAATTCAAACAAGTAGGTAGTTTCTGAGTTATTGTAATTTTTGATTTAAGGAAAATTTTCCATGATAATAGGTTTAGAAAAAATAGATTCTGAGGGTATACACTTATATATATAAAATAAATGTAATAATATTTAGTCTACTATACTTGTTATAGGTCGGTATAGGTGGTACTCATACAATGTTTACAAATTATTAAATGCTTATAAATTCATATTGATTGGCTATTACCATAATATACTTACCTTAACTTATAGTATAATCCTATTAGTAGGTAGTAGGTATATTGCGTAAAATAATTCAAAAATGTATTGTTTGACTTTTGATATAGATAAATCAAAATTAAAATAATCATTTGCTGTACAATTTACTGTAAAAATCGGTGGTTGGTGCAAATTTGAAAAAAATACATTTATATCACCATAGGACGAATACTAAATAATTAATGCCATGAAAAATGTAAGTATTTTAAAACTCTGTGTTTTAGCAAACCAAAAAATTCCAAAATTTAAAAATTGAATAAATGCATAATTAAAGTATCAAATAAGGGTTAGCTCGGGTATGGTCGGTAAATCACCCTGTTTAGTTAACGTGTTGTTTTTGGAAATTAAAATAATACTATACACTGACGAATCTGGTATTGCAACGAATATACAAAATAATAATAAATTGTACTATACACAATCTGATTTCGAAAAGCCTGACGCTCATTCAAATGGAAATGTATACGCGGCTTTTACCTTGTAATTTTATTTCGATCTCCGTCTATAAAGATATATATTAGTTTCCCCATTAAGCACCCATCATAATATAGTTTGATTCTTTCCACCACGTTATTATTTCTGACGTATAGTGTACGTTCAAAGGGTTTTGAGTGTATTCATTTCTTAGTTTGTCTATTCGCATCACACCCCTTACAACGCATCTCGTTATCTACATGGTCTCATCTATTCATTGAAAATAATAATATATTCTTGGAAACTGAATTTATTACATAATATAATGACATCCCGACATAATGCGAAGCGTACCTACACGATTCGGTATAATATTATAGTAACATTTATTTTCCATTTTCCATATTGTCGAATTGTGTTGTATTTGATCAACACAAATTGGTATTACGCTCGAATAACATAATTGGATGAAATATTTAAAAACCGTAGACATAAATTATTGTCCATTTAAGTGGACGAATCAATACAAATCACTACACTCGTATAGGTTTCGGAAATAATATAAAATATAATATTATTCGATGCACACTGTAGTGAATAATTTAATTTTATGTAATTTAAAAACTACATACATATTCAGTTAATCTACCGAAAAATGGTCTAAACTAAATCTATTGTACTCGTTTGAGGAGTGCGATAAATTATAATTACGGAAGGTTTGACTTTTATTGCTCTTGGTACTCATGGGAATTATATTTATTCATAATTTAAGACTATCAATAATAATTATACATTGTCAACAAACAACGAGCTGGGTACGTGTTTTTAATTTAAAAGTTAAACGAATTTCATGCAAGTTTAATTGGCCCTAGAAGTTTGGTCGGTAACAGAGACAATATTTTTGGTATAAGTATATATTATTACCTTTTATCATTATCGTTATTATTATTATTATTATTAATTTTTGTTGTTGTAACCCAGACTTTATTCCATTCACGTACACAAAAAAAATATATATATTCCCCGCCACCAGTATATACGCATATGCAAAGAATAACCATAATGTTTTACAATTACATACTAATGGTCTACACAATTGCAGGATCACAAAAACCATAATTTTGTACCATAACACTACATGGTAACCCGGCGCATTGTGTATGCAATTTTGATGCTTGCACGTGTAGCCTAACGAATAAAATATATTATATCGACCATACGATAATAATAATAATATACGTATTACATATTATTTTATTATACTATAGTAAACATTTTGACTAAATTATTATAACGAAAGTACTTCTACCTATACTGTGAAATAAAATAATTTGCTATATTGATTATAATATAACCATATATTATAGCCATATTATGTTACTGCTATAATAGAGACAAATTTCAAACAATTTTTTTATGTTTAGTATTTTTCGATATTATTAAAAGTTTAACAATTCTTTATTATTTAATCATATAAATACCAACCCTACGATACAACCATGGTCCACAATAACTTAACTACAAAATAAAAATACATTATTTTATTTAACGTAAGACTTAAAATTGGGTTTGTATCATTTTAATTTAACATTTTTACTGCAGAGGTGAAATCTGTAACTTATCTCACTCTGATCACAGATAGCCGCTGGGTATTTATAGTGGTTTGTTATCAAGCATGAAACTTTTGGAGCACTTTTACAAGTATGACGTTAGTTTTTACTTATACTTGGGGAAACTATTGAAAAATATCCTATTCAAGATCAGTTCTATAATTTCATAAATTTACTGACGTATATAACATTTTTTGATATTCATTACTATTCTAAAAAGGTTTATAAATAATAAATACAAAACTACATATATCATTCAAAAATACATTTATCTCTCAGTGTTATATTTAAAATAATTTTAAAAATAAATCTAACAGAATTCTAACATAAATATATAAATTTCTGGTCAGGTGGCACTGCTGGGAGCCTTCCTATTAATGTTATTATTTTATGTCTAATGTTCAACACACTGACTCATTATACCTTATTATATAGATTGTAAATATTCTTTTTTTTTTAAAAAAAAAAAACATAAATATGAAATATAATTTTGAAAGAAATATACTAGCAAATGTATGATTAAGTATGTGAACATTAAATCATAAGAGTTAAACAAATAATAATTTAAATTAATTTTTCATTCATCACTGAAGAAACGGTTAAACAATTTCATATCCGCCAAATCTAAAACTTTTTTTTTTAAAGTTTAAAACTCTTTAAATTGCATTTATACAAGAGCAAATCGTGCATTATAATACAAATTACATTGATTTGATCGATGTTACGCATACATTTCAATTTATTATTTTTAATTATTAAAATGTCAGATTATTGACTTCTTTGGACCAAAATATTATTTATATTATACTGACCTCAGTAGACCGCGCAGACAGATATTAATAGTGACGTGTTTTGACTCTTTTTGTTGTTTTTTGCATCAATACGCGACGTCACAGTGCGTTCGTATTTGATTAATAAAAACAGTGATAAAAAAAAAATCAAATAAAAAACAATACTCACTTTAAATACGTTATTATACCTATCGATTTGTTTTTGATGTTGTACAGAGCATGGACACCGAAGACGACGAGGAAAATAAATCACGTCACGGGCGTATGGAATTCAGGACGGACCACAAACAAATGGAAAAATCCGAATAAATCCGATCGTATTAAAACAACCATGACAATCACTCGGGTCCAGTGGGTGTGTTGCGGTATCGTGTTGCTGGCGGCCCTGTGTTCGGGTGGCCGGCAATACGGGGCCCGGAAAATTAGACATGACCACAAGAGCCAGGACGAGGGGACTCAACCGGACATCGATTTCGAGTTCGAGACGACCAAAGGGTTTCAGTTTGAAAACGGTGGAGATTACGACGACCCATCCGAAGAAGGGATCACGTTGGACGTCGTCCACGGTCTATACGATACCCGGAAAGGCGTCGTGCCCAACATAGTTTATCAAGGTAGGTACCTACCTCATAAACGACTACATTAATAAATTAACAATATACACATTACAAATTCAATATTATCAATAGTAATAGTATATAATATAATATATGGGCACTATAGATTGTTTTTGTATTCAGTCGGATATGTCGGTGTGACAATGTATGAAAATACAAGTATATATTTTACATACTAACAACTGACACTGACTAACAAATTGAAAACAACTCAAATAATTATATTCGATATAGTGTGTGTATGATTTTAATAATATTATAAACAGGACTGAAATGGTATTAGAATATTTGATAACATAGAAAATATATAATACTAGTATTGTCCTGACCGACGTTGCCCGGGCCAAAGATCTGTATTTTTTTTATAAATATATTTGTAAAAAATGTATGTTATAATATTCTTCTAGTTATAAAATTAATATAATATGTAACGATGTAACCAATGGCAAATATATAGATAAACAGAAGCGAATTTTTTTAACTGAAAAATAATCGTATGTGAACCTTTAAGAGTTGAAAAAATAAGCTACAAACACTCTCCAAATCTCAAAGAATCTATTGTTATAACTTTTATTGAAAACTGTCCAATAGTTTTGGAGTCTATCAATGAACCAACAATCGTTTTTAGCTGCATAACCTCACTTCACCCTTGCAAAAATTTTTAAAAAATACAAAATACTGGCGATATCGGTGTATCTTGGATTTGGTGTACCTCGCTTTGTAAACTAATTCGACGAAGATTGATAATTCACCTGAAAGTAGATTGGATATAGCACTTCATAACAATTAAATGTGGTTTAACTACTCTCTAAAATTTTCCGATATCTCCAAGAACAATTTGACATTTTTACGAATTCGGTTAAGTAGTTATTGAGTATCTATGTAAGTAACAAACATACTCTTGTAACGTCTCCTCATATTTGTTTTAAGATACATGATTTCTTTATTCAAACACGACGATTTAATGCATGCTTTTACCTCATCTAATTGAGTAACCAATGGTAACCATTGGTATACAAAAAATTATAAATTTTTCCATTACGATTATTATCTGTAAGCTGTAACCAATAGCAACTATTCATAAACAAAAATGTTCATTGTAAATCTCAGAATCCTTGTTTGAGCACCTCTTCAGATTTGATCAACTGGGTCCACTTGCGAATCCAAACCATCTAGGGATTAGGGAGTCACTAGGGACCCACTCAAACGAACAAAAAATGTCATTAAAATCGGTCCAGTCGTTTAGGAGGAGTTTAAATAGGTGCACACGTATAGAAGAATTATATATTTATACTGGCAGACGAAATATATATATATATATAAATATGATCAAATATCAGTACAAAAGTTTGTAAAAAAATAGTCATTTCCACACCCTTAATATTTGAAGTTAATAGATTTCGAGAGGGAAATAGGAGACTATATTTTTTCAAAACAACGTATTTCTTTACAGAAATCATTTTAGTGTAATAAAAATGTTTCAAAAGTGCACTACGTATGTTTCCAAATTGAAATGGTTGTAGATTATACTATAAAATACATTTTAAATGTCACATTACTTTGTAAATAAATCCTACAAGCTGTTAAAAAAATGAACCCTGAAAATAAAATAAATATTATTTTTATTTATAACTGAATATATTGCGATAAAAATTTTCGGTTTATACATTTATACTGGAAGTTGATAAAAAATATGAATATTAAGTATTTTGGAATAGGTCTCGAACTTTTTCATTGTTTCTGGTATTATAAAATTAATCTTTTAGTACCTACTTTCAATTCTTATATGAGTTACCTAACCAACAAAAATTTCGTATGAGTATAAAATCGGGTTGTCTGCGTAATACTCATTAGGGTGAGTATCATTCAATTTGAAATTACATAATAAAAAATTGTCATAACAATTAAAACTATTCTCAGTAAAATTTAGCTGACCCAATAATAATGAAGATTTTGTTAAAAATAGTTCTCAACTTAACATATTTCTTCTCATTTTTTTTGGTCAAGGTATTTAAGTTAGTGTTTTTAATTTTTGTGTAGGTATGTGGTTTATTATTTGTTATTTATTTAAAATCAAATCTAAAGAATATTTATTAGTATAATACATGTTAATGTGTTGTACAAGATTCATATTCACAGAGCTCGTGAATTTACATGATTCACAATTTATTTATAAAATGGTTTATAATTTAATATCTTATATTAATTATAATCCGTAGACCATTCGTGTCACCTAGCATAATATAATAATTACACTTTATGCGTAATTGCACAGCACCGTTCAAGTCTGCCTGAATGTGTCTTGGTATACTCGCCTTTGCGAGAGGGGTGATACGCATTTCTACTACCAAGAATGTACCTTTCCTATTTCTACCAATTCCCGTTTCCACCAATTCCCGTTCCCACCAAAAGTGTTCCTTGCCCAATGCCCTTGTCTTCTAATATCCGTTTCCATAAAAATTAGATATTAACGGATTCATCAGTCAATCGTCAAAACTCATTCGGTGGGGAGGTATTCTTTTATTGGAAACTTTTATTAGAAATTCTATAGATATGCTCTTATGTCCCCCAGAGTGAGTAAATACTGAACAATTTGTATTTCAATGGCGTCTCACGTACGAAGATATCAACGATAATTGTTTACCAAAATATTCATATGAACCGATATAAGATATTTTTACATTTTTACCTATCCCATTAATTATTATATATGATAAAAAAATAATTAAAATATCTTTGTAGAGCTTCTAACAATATTATACAGACGATTCAGATGGTAATAGATAACATTATACACAATTCCATAAAAATGTTCATTTTAATAAATTGTCTTCGGTTGGAATCTAAGTTATTAATGTTCATATTATTATAATTTGAAATTTTCGGATAAAAACGTTGGCATCACATCAGCAGCTGACGACCATCGAATAGTTGAGCGTTATCGATCGTAACACTTAAGGCCATAATAACACCGTACGGGGGTGAGAGTGTATCATCGAACGAGTGTGATTAGAGTCGATGATGTTTGCGGAATTTGGCACCTCGTCGATGATGGTAGGCTGCGGATATACGTCGAACCGGAGATGAACGACCGAGATAATTTCTCCCCGTTATGACGTACGGCATTACATAACCATGGTTACTACAGGTAGTACGACTGCGATCCCCTGTGACTAGAGTTCCGGACATTCTTACGGGCGTACGTCCACTGCGTTTAAATTACACAAAGGTGCTACCCCACTATCGCTGCAGTGTCACGTAGGACGAGTTAGGTTACTATATTGGTTATCAGGTTGTGGTTTATTACGTTTGATATTGGTCACGGTTGTTTTACACGGCTTATTGGTCTTAACGGTGTGATCCGCGAGTTTGAATTGAAATACCGTCACTGTAACCAGCTGTGGTATTAATTTGTCGATAACACTAATCTACCAGTCAGGGAGTGTGTTTCACGCGATTACTCTGACGTGATAGAAGTGTAATAGCGCCTTCACTCTTACCATAATCAACCGAGCTCGGGTTACATGTACCGTACTCAGGTATATGTATTATGTGTACTTACTACTTATACGTATATATATATATTTGACGATTGTGATGTTTAAATATTTTAACTATTTTTAATTTAACGGATACTAATTCAACACAGATCCCTAAACAATGAAGCATAAAGGTATATTCTTGGGAGCTATTTTTACTTTTTAGTGTTTTATATTTTTAACTGCAAAATCACAAAATAAATGTTTAACAAGTTATAAGTATAAAGATCGTCGGATCGGCGAGTAGTGAATTACGTAAAGAGATGTGAGAGCGGAGAACGTTTTGTTACATTGTAAAGATTGTCAGCGATCGTATAACTTACAATAATATTTACTCATGTACATATTGTATCCGAATTTTTTTAATAATATCTATGTAATAATATCTAATAATAATAATTGGACTTCGTGGCGATGATAATATAATATGTATAATGATATAAAAATATAATACCGGGTAGGCGTAACACTACAATATATTATTATACCATTATACGTCAAATTCATCGTAGATATCGTGTTGATATGCTTTGATGAAATCCTATACCTATACCTATATATTGACTTAGTGTCAGTTAATGATGACGGCCCGCTCTAAACAACAATACACATTACTTTTAATCATTAATTCATTAAAATGGAAAGTTAAAATGAACAACATGTTGTTAGGTACTTTTTGTTGTTTTAAAATAATTTAATTTATTCCATGCATTAAACATTCCGTTGAGGCTGGTTTTTAATACTTTTGTCTTTGTTTCTGATATCAACGAAAGGAGCTCATATTTTAAGAAATCAATAAATGAAAACAACAGTTGTAGAATAATAATAATTTTATTTTTCATTTTAAATATTTTCACAACGATTGATGGTGAGAATTTGATCAAGACTTTAATAACAATAAAATACACTTGAAAACAATAATGTTTTAACATAAAAGCACATTATTTTAGTTCGATAACCTAACCTTTTTTGTGTATAAATGTTTTAAACCGACACGCGGTCACATAATATATTCTCGTACGGAGAAACTAAAGTTTACCGACTATACCTATTATTTTTAAAATTGTTTTTATTTTATTGTGTTGTGCATACAATCAAAATTTTTAATCCTGTTTTGTTTATACATAAATGTCTTGTATCACGATAATATATACATATAATATATCGATTTAAACTGCGTGTAAATGAAAAATAAAAACAACAGCAGTGTATACGATATTATTATTATACAATCAAAAGATACATTTTTAACTAAAATTAAAAGCAGAGTTTCTGTATAATATTATAATAATATACATAACAAATTATAGTTTCTGGTAGAAACACATTTGAAAAAAAAAAAAAATTATAGAAGCATGACATTATTCTCGAGCAAGGTGACCTGGATTATTGAATGAAGTAAAAAAAAAAAAAACACTTCCTGCCCAGAATTTAAATCTAAATAGTCTGTTCATAATAAATATAATTACTTAACCAATATAGTAACGCCT